GGGCAACAGACAGAGGCTCCATCTCAAAAAAAAAAAAGGCAAAGGAGTAGGAAGGGATGTGGGGGCGGGAGTGTTAGGGAGCCGTCAGAGGAGATGGAGTTCAAGACTTTTTTAAAATTAGAGATAGGAGTCTCAATGTGTTGCCCAGGCTGGCCTTGACCTCCTGGCCTTAAGTGGTCCTCCCGCCTCAGCTTCCCATAGTGCTGGAATTACCAGCATGAGCCACAGCACCCAGCCAACCACCTCCTACCCTTTCTTTTAAAGACAGGATCTAGCTTTGTTGCCCAGGCAGGAGTGTGCTGGTGCAATCCTAGTTCACTAATTGCAGCCTCCAACTCCTGAACTCAAGTAATCCTCTTGCCTTAGCTTCCCAAGTAGTTGGGACTACAGGTGTGCACTGGTTAACTTTTTTTCTTTCTTCTTTTTATTTTTTATTTTATTTTATTATTTTAGATATGGGGTTTCCCCATGTTGGTGAGGCTGGTCTCGAACTCCTGACCTCAGGTGATCTACCTGCCTTGGCCTCCCAAAGTACTGGGATTACAGGCATGAGCCACTGAGCCCGGCCCCTGACTAACTTTTATTTTATTATTTATTTATTTGAGATGGAGTCTTGCTCTGTCGCACAGGCTGGAGTGCAGTAGAGTGATCTCAGCTCACTGCAACCTCTGTCTCCTGGGTTCAAACTATTCTCCTGCCTCAGCCTCCTGAATAGCTGGAATTATAGGTGCCCCCCACTATGCCTGGTTAATTTTTGTATTTTTAGTAGAGAGAGGGTTTCACCATGTTGGTCAGGCTGGTCTCAGACTCCTGACCTCAAGTGATCCACCTGCCTCGGCCTCCCAAAGTCCTGGGATTACAGGTGTGAGCCACTGTGCCTGGCCTTATTTTATGTTGTTTTTAATAGAGATGGGGTCTTGCTGTGTTGCCCAGGCTGGTCTGGAATTCCTGGCCTCAAGGGATCCTCTCACCTCAGTTTCCCAAAGTGCTGAGATTACAGGTGAGAGCCACATCACCCAGCTGGGATTCAAGATTTGAGAAGTAAGGCTGTTCTGGGTGACAGTAGAGGTTGGGAGGGGCGGTGGAGAGAGCCGAAGGGAGGCTCGGTGTGGTCAAGGGAGGCTCAGTGTGGTCAAGTGGTGTCATCCAGGTGGCATGCCTCCAGGATGAAAGCAGGACTCGGGGACACGCTGAAGACATGCCAGGCCTCTGTCTGTCCTCCTGTCTCCGGATATTGGAGCCCCAGCTGCATGGGCTGCCGGGGAGTGAGCTGCCACCACTAGGGTGTGCTGCAGGGGAAACCTGTCTGGACTCGGGAGGCTCCAGCCTCTCTTCCCTGTCCTGCTCCAGAGGCCTGTGGAACTGCTCCCCTGGTGGCCTGTGGGACTGCTCCCCCGGGGGGCCTGTGGGACTGCTCCATCAGCAAATGCTGGTATTTCCCTGGCGCACTCGTTCCCACGTGGCCTGGTGGGCAGTGCCCAGGGAGGCCGAGGAGGCAGAGAACAGGAAGAGGAAACCCCCCTGGTTTCTATCTCACAACAGGGACCCGGCAGGGAAACCCCACACATCCTAAAAAGAAAGTGGCAGCAGTGGTTCTCGGGGAAGACCAAGAAACCCCATCCTCTCCTTGAAGATGGGAAATCCAGGGCGGGGCTGAGGGCGGGGCTGTGCTGGAAGGGAGATCTGTGGTCCATGCCGCGCAGCCCTCATCATGGTCTCTACAGAGCAGAAACACCAAGATTATTCTGGGACCTGGCTGAGCCCTGATCCTGACCTCAGTCAACCCAAGCCTGGCCACAGGCTGAGCCCCAATCCTGGTGACTGAGCTCTCATCCCAGCCAAAGCCTGGAACCCGCCCCCTGCCCCCACTCCTCCCTGAGTCACAGCGCCAGTCAGCACCTTGGCCAAAGACCAAATTTTAGACCCAACCCTATAGGCCGCAGGCAAAGCCCCAGGTCACCAATAGCTCTGATCCTAAACCAGACACAGCAGGAACATTGGCCCTGGACTAGGTTGTGAGTCCAACTGTAGACTGAGTCCTGATCCTGATTACAGGCTGAACTCAAATCCTATATCAGACTCTGGTTAAAGATGGAGACAGAGCCCTTGGCCCTGGAGGAAGCCCTAACCCTGGTTCCAGACATGGCCTCAGACCTGGTTTTATCCATCCCTGACTGTAGCTACAAACTGAGCCCCAATACCACCATCACACTGAGCCTCTGCCTGGCCCCATGCGAAGGTGCATGCGGCCACCCCTTGAGCACTGACTCTCTTTGCGCCACCTCCCTCAGCCATCTGGTAACCATAAGGGAGTCAGATAACTCAAACCCCGAGTTCCCTCGGGTGGGCCAATCCCCTTACCTGGCCATCCATCTTTGGAAGGACAGGAGACCCTAGGATGGTGGTGGCAGAGCTGAGAATTAGAAGGGAGTTTGGGACTCTGGGATCAACCAGTGAATAGGGCTGGATAGCTCACCCAAGCATGGGGCATTGAGAACAGGGCTCGATATGGGAGCTTAGCAGTGGGTCTGGAGCTTGGATGGCCCAAAACCCCAGCTTCCTGTCACCCCCCACCATACCTCCCACCCTCTCCGGGAAGGGAAATTACATTTCCCCATTTTAGCAAGGGGTGGCAAAAGGGAAGAATGAGTGAACACAAAGCTGAAAGTACAAGCAGGACGGAAAGTGAAACTGGGCGCAGCCCCCAGTATAAGACCCCCCTACCCAGGAGATGGCTGACCAAAGAGGCTAGGCCCCGGCATGGGCCAGATGGCAGGCGACCTTGGCTGGCGTGAGTTTGAAGCCAGGGGTGGGGGGCTTGGCTGAGTTTGGGCAGAGGATGGATGAGCTTGGCTGGTGCAGATGGTGGCTGAGAGCTGAGAGCAAGAACTTGACCAAGACTGAGGACTCAGCTGGCTATAGGATGGGAAGGAGGCTAGCATAACTGGGTGGGGCCCTGGGGCAGTGGGGTGGTGGTTTGACCCAGGGCCGGGCAGAGGATGGGAAAGAAGCCCTGGCTAGCGGGAATGGTGAGGGTGGGACTAGCAATTTGACAAGGACCAGGTCTAGGCAGATCAATGAAAAGTTTGGAGTGAATAAGCAGAAGCCAAACAGCTTGGCTAAGACTGGGGATGGGGCTGGCTGGAGGAAGAGCAAAAGGAGGCACTAGCACGAGTGGGGCGCTGGGACCAAGGCATCAGCAGCAGCTTCAGTGGGACAAAGGTTTTTAGTTTGATACTTGGAAGGAGGTTCAATCTGTGGCTGGGGGCCACAGAACTCAGGGGCTAGAACCAGTAGAGCAGCAGGCAGAGGAGAAGGTAACATGCCGTGTAGGGCAGGTAGGGACCAAAGGCTAGATGACGGAGACAAAACCTTCAAAGGCCAGAGCTAATGATCCAGGATAGGCTACAGTGGGTAAAGAGAGGGTCTGGGGACTCCAGAGCTTAAGTAGGAGATGGCATAGCTCACTTATGGTTGGGCTTGATCCACCAGGGCTTAGGGGCACCCACTCCCCTCCCCAGCACTGAGCTAGGAAGAACCCCACTCTGCCTTAAATCTCCAGGATGTCAGAGGGTCCGAGTATCCTCCCAGCCAGGGAGTCTGAATGTCAGAGATCTCAGGTTAGGCATTGCCCACCATACCTGGAAGTCCATGAAGGAGGTGGATGTCCCTAGAAGCTCCCCTTCACCTTTATCAAGGGGACATTTAGAATAGCAGAGCCCAGGGGTTAGAGATCAAGAGAGGACAGGGAAGAGGCAGGGAGAGAAGGGAGAGCAGGATGGACTTCTGGCCAGTTTTGGTTTGTGTTTTGTGGAGAATTGTGTAACTTTTCTGCTTGCTAGATTTCCTTTCCCTGAGGGGGAAACTGCTCAAGCTGTCCTCTTCCTAGAGCCCCCACCTCCTACTCCTCTTTCCAGGAAAACAGGTCAGGAAGCACACTTGGAATTCAGCCACTCTAGGCTGGGCGCAGTGGCTCATGTCTGTAATTCTAGCACTTCGGGAGGCCAAGGCAATGGATCACCTTAGATCAGGAGTTCAAGATCAGCCTGGCCAACATGGCAAAACCCCGTCTCTACTAAAAATTTTTTAAAAATTAGCCAGGAGTGGTGGCACATGCCTGTAATCCCAGCTACTCGCTGAGATTACAGATGAGGCAGGAGACTTGCTTTAACCCGGGAGGTGAAAGTTTCAGTGAGCCGAGATTGTGCCACTGCACTCCAGCCTGGGCGACAGAGTGAGACTCTGTCTTTAAAAAAAGAAAAACTCCCACATCGTTGATTCTCCCCAGGCAGGTTCCCTTGCAGGATCCACCTGCCATGTGGAGGCTGGACCAACCTGTCCTTTTGACTCCCTGGGATAGAGTCTCCGGCATTGCCAGCCCATACCTGGGGACCACATGGCCAGTTCAAGCCATCAGAGCTGCCTGGCTGAGCCCAAGGAATCCCTGGCAGAACATGGTGTGCCCACTCCTGGGGCAGGTGGCTGCCTCCCTCTGCATTCTCTGGAATGGGCTCTGCATTTGGAAAAATCTGGAATCCAGTGCTGGCTCCCCATGGGCTCTGCATTTGGAAAAATCTGGAATCCAGTGCTGGCTCCCCACCTTCTGGCTATTTGACCTTGGGCAAGTCAACCTCGCTGAGCCTCATCCACAAAATGGGGAGAACAATAGCACCGAGGCTGCCACGTGTGGTTGTGCAGGTTGCTCACTGGCAAAGGCATTTTGCCAAGGGAGTTTATGGGGTCAAAATCCAGCCTCTGTCCTGGCATAGTGGCTCATTGCCTGTGATCCCAGCAGTTTGGGAGGCTGAGGCAGGAGTATCTGTTGAGGCCGGGAGTTCAAGACCACTCTGGGCAACATAGTGAGACCCTGTCTCTAAAAAAAAAAAAAAAGAAATAATTAGCTAGGCACAGTGGTGTGTCCCTGTGGTCCCAGCCACTGGGGAGGCTGAGGCGAAAGGATCATTAGAGCCCAGGAGTTCAAGGCTACCGTGAGCTGTGATCACACCACTGTACTCCAGCCTGAGTGATAGAACAGAACTCTGTTTAAAAAAAAAAGAAAAGGATCAGGCTTCTGGTCTTTCTGCAAAAGTGGGCACTCCATATGGAGATGCCATATGAGGGCCATGCTGGCCGCATTGTGGGGTTTTACTTTGTTTTGTTTGAGACGGAGTCTGGCTCTGTCATCCAGGCTGGAGTGCAGTGGTGTTATCTCAGCTCACTACAACCTCCGCCTCCCGGGGCTCAAGTGATTCTCATGCCTCAGCCTCCTGAGTAGCTGGGATTACAGGCATGCGCTAACATGTCTGACTAATTTTTGTGTTTTTTAGTAGAGACAGGGTTTCGCCATGTTGACCAGGCTGGTCTTGAACCCCTGGCCTCAGGTGATCTGCCCGCCTTGCCCTCCCAAATTGTTGGGATTACAGGCATGAGTCACTGCATCTGGCCTCTATTGTGGTTTTGAAGGGGCAGTGAAATGATGCTGGTGAAAGTGCCTGCACCGTGCTCACGGCTAGCACAGGCTCAGAAAAGGCATGCTCCTTTCCTTCCCCCGAGTTCTCAAGCTCTCTCCCCATCTTGCCCAACCTCTCCCATCTCTTCAGGGCTCAGCCTGTTGCTGCTTCCCTTGCTCCTGGTGCAAGCTGGCGTCTGGGGATTCCCAAGACCCCCAGGAAGGCCCCTGCTGAGCCTGCAGGAGCTGCAGAGGGAGTTCACCGTCAGCCTTCATCTCGCCAGGAAGCTGCTCTCCCAGGTTCGGGGCCAGGCCCACCGCTTTGTAAGTCTTCCTAACGCAGCTGGTGCTGGGCATGGGCAGACCCCCAATCCCTTCTGGCCCCTACTAACAGACCTTGCCCCCCAGGCGGAATCTCACCTGCCAGGAGTGAACCTGGACCTCCTGCCCCTGGGAGAGCAGCTTCCCGGTGTTTCCCTGACCTTCCAGGCTTGGCGCCGCCTCTCTGTGAGTGAGGGCTGATGGGGTGGGAAGCTCTTGATAGGCTGGGGCCAGGGTGCAAGATGAGGCTGGAGATTGAGCCGGAGATGCATTGGGGATAGAACCTGGATGAGGTTGAGTATGTCATTGGACATAAAGATGAAAGCCAGGCACCATGACTTAAACCTATAAACCCAGCGCTTTGGGAGGCTGAGGTGGAAGGACTGCTTGAGGCCAAGAGTTAAAGACCAGCCTGAGCAACATAGAGAGATTTTGTCTCTACAAAAAAACTTTAAGAGTTAACCAGGCATGGTAGTGCATACCCCTGTGGTCCTAGCTACTCGGGAGGCTGATGTGGGAGGATGGCTGGAGCTCAGGAGTTAGAGGCTGCAATGAGTTATGACCATGCCACTGCACTCCAGCCTGGGTGACAGAGGGAGACCTTGTCTCAAAAATAAATCAACAGCCAGGCGTGGTGGCTCATGCCTGTAATCCCAGCACTTTGGGAGGCTGAAGCCGGCCGATCACCTGAGATCAGGAGTTCAAGACCAGCCTGGCCAACAGGAAAATAACCCATCTCTGCTAAAAAATATAAAAATTAGCTGGGAGCAGTGACTCACACCTGTAATCCCAGCACTTTGGGAAACTGAGGCAGACGGATCACCTGAGGCCGGGAGTTTGAGACCAGCCCAACCAACATGGAGAAACCGCATCTCTACTAAAAATATGAAAATTAGCCAGGCATGGTGGCATGGGCCTGTAGTCCCAGCTACTCAGGAGGCTGAGGCAGGAGAATTGCTTGAACCCAGGAGGCGGAGGTTGCAGTGAGATGAGATCGCACAACTGCACTCCAGCCTGGGTGACAGAGCAAGACTCCATCTCAAAATACATAATTAAACAAACATATAAACAAACAATAAAGATGAATAAGGAAGTGGGGTTGGGAAGAGGTCAGAGTGCAGCTCGGTGTGGAATATGGTGGGCATAGGACTAGAGTGAGGCTGGAGGTGGAGATCACAGCAGCATGGAAGGGGTGGAGGTGGCACTGGGGTGAGACTGTGGATAGTCAGAGATGAGAAGGTTGGAGATGAGGGTGAACATGAAGCAGGGGATGGAAAAGGGGTGGGGTTGCTGGTGGGGAAGGGAATGGAATGGGGTTGGAATGGAGTTGGATGGGATGGGGCGATGGGAAGAGTGACTGTGCACATGGAGCAAGGATGGAGTTGGGGTTAGGAATGGGAACGAGGCTGGAGATGGGATGGAAACGTGTGGCAGGAGGTAGGATGGGATGGTGGAGGAGGAAAGGGCACAGGGCTGCGGGTGGAGGGTGCTGTGGGGACTAGGTGGGGTGGGTTAGAGATCATGGGCATGGGAATGAAAGGGAGGCTGGAAAAGGAGATGGGCAGAGGTCCTAGACAGTGGAGATGGATGAGATGGGGACAGAGCTAGGCCCAGGTTGGGACGAGCTACGAGGATGGATTGTGGAATGGGAAGCTGGAGTGTGGAATGGGAAGGAGACCCGGATAGGGAGGATATGGGTGTGATGTGGCCATCTTTGGCCTGTGGGCCTTTCCTGACCGTCTCCCTGCCCTTCAGGACCCGGAGCGCCTCTGCTTCCTCTCTACCACACTTCAGCCCTTCCATGCCCTGCTGGGAGGGCTGGGGAGCCAGGGCCGCTGGACCAACACAGAGAGGATGCAGCTGTGGGCCATGAGGCTGGACCTCCGGGATCTGCAGCGGCACTTCCGCTTCCAGGTAGAGCCCGGCCACCCTCGGCCACCCCAGACCACGCAGGAAAGAAGACTTGCTGGCTCATCCATCGATCTCATGTTCTGAGTGTGTGTGAGTGAGAGTGTAAGCGTGTGAATGTGGCTGTGAGTGGGTGAGTCCATAAGTGTGTGAGTGTGGGGGTCTTTGAGTGTGAGTGTGATTGTATGTGTGTGGGTATGTGCATGTGAGCATGACTGTGAGTAGGTGAGTCCATGAGTGTGAGAGTGTGAGTGAGCGTGACTGAGTATGTGCAACTATGAGTGTGTGTGGCTCTGTGAGTGAGTGTGACTGTGTGTGGCTTTGTGAGTGAGTGTGACTGTGTGTGGCTTTGTGAGTGTGTTAGCATGACTGTGTGAGTGTGACTGTGAGTGTGTGAATGTGGGGTCTGTGCATGTGAGTATAATCGTGACTGTGTGAGTGTGTGGGTCTGTGTGAGTGTGTGTCTGTGAGTGTGTGTGTGGGTCTGTGAGTGTGTGAGTGTGTGTGGCTGTGTTTGAGCATGACTGTGTGTGACTGTGTGTGTGTGGCTCTGAGTGTGAGTGTGAGCATGACTGTGAGTGTGTTGGTCCATGAGTGTGAGTGTGTGACTGTGAGATCGTGTGTGTGTAGGTCTGTAAGTGTGTGTGTCTGTGAGTGTGTGGGTGTGGGTCTGTGAGTGTGTGAGCGTGACTGAGTTTGTGAGTGTGACTGAGAGTGTGTGAATGTGGAGGGGTCTGTGTGTGTGTGTCTGTGTGTGTGTGTGTGTGTGTGTGTGTGTGCGTGCGCAGCCACACCAGGCCCTGGTGCCATCCCTTAATCTTCGAATTCTCCTGGGGCTCCATCTTGAACAGGAGGCCATTGGGCTGTAAGGTCACTCGGGGGTTATCCTGAGCGCCCCGCACAGCTTCTGCCTCCTGTTTCCCTTCTCCCTCTGATTCTCTGACATCACCCAGATCTTCCAGAACCTTTCAAAGGGAAATCAGAATTTTACCATTAATGAAATGAGAATAGAAAATGCAAGCAGCAGGGCCAGGTGTGGTGGCTCACCCCAGGAATTCCAGCACTTTAGGAGGCCAAGGCAGGTGGATCATTTGAGGTCTGGAGTTTGAGACCAGCCTGGCCAACATGGTAAAAACCCCATCTCTAAAAATACAAAAATTATATGGGTGTGGTGGGACATGTCTGTAATCTCAGCTACTTGAAAGGCTGAGGCAGGAGAACTGCTTGAACTGGGGAGAGAGAGGTTGCCATGAGCTGAGATAGCTCTACTGCACTCTAGCCTGAGTAACAGACTGACAGAAGGGAAGGGAAGGGGAGAGGAGGGGAGGGAACAGAACCGGAGGGAAGGGGAGGTGAAAGGCCCAGTGGCTCACACCTGTAATCCCAGCACTTTGGGAGGCTGAGGTGGGTGGATCAGGAGTCCAAGACCAGCCTGGCCAACATAGTGAAACCCATCTTTTCTAAAAAAAAAATACAAAAAATTAGCTGGGTATGGTAGCAGGTGCCTGTAATCCCAGCCACTCAGGAGACTGAGGCAGGAGAATCGCTTGAACCTGGGAGGTGAAGGTTGCAGTAAGCCGAGATTATGCCATTGCACTCCAGCCCGGATGACAGTGTGAGACTCCATCTCAGAAAAAAAAAAAAGGAAAGAGCAAGCAGCAGGGAAACTGAGCTATGTCACCCTCTGCCTGTTGTTGGCCCAACCCGGGAGCAACCTTAACAGCAGAGAGAAACTTCCTGAGCCGAACCCCCCAAGGGCCATCCCTGGGGTGACCTAGCTCTGTGAGCATCCTCATGCTCCTTGACTTCCATTTTCTCAAACCGAAAGATCAAGCAGGATGCGCTAGCGGGTGACATCATGGAAGATCACGTAGGGAATGTCCCGGGGAAATCCTGACCTTATGGTCACTGACGTCATTAGGAGTCGCTCGCACGAATAGGGAATGAGGGTTCACTCCAGTTCTCTGCCTGGCCCCTCCCTGACCCATGGTCTCTCCTCACAGATGCGAGCTGCAGGATTTCGCCTCCTGGAAGAGGAGGAGGAGGAGGAGGAGGAGGAGGAGGAGCACGAAGGGAAGGGGCTGCTCCCAGGGGCACTGGGCATTGCCTCACAGGTGCCGGCGCAGGTGTCCTGGCCCCAGCTCCTCTCCACCTACCGCCTATTGCACTCCTTGGAGCTCGTCTTATCTCGGGCCGTGCGGGACTTGCTGTTGCTATCCAAGGCCAGGCACCCAGTCTGGGCCCTGGGGTCCCCAACACTGGGCCCCAGCCCTGATCAGGTGGCTTCTTAGCCCCCTGCCCCTCACCCTTTAGGACTTTCAGATTGGAGTCTTGACACCCGGGCAGCCTCCGAATCATCAGCCTTGGACAAGAAAGGCTGTTTCAGCCTGCTGCCCCGGGCGCTACCCACTAACTGAAAGCCCCTCCAGTCCTCGCCAGCTATTTATTTCCTGGATACTTATTTATTGTTTAGGGAGATGATGGTTTATTTATTGTCTCGGGGCCTGCTGGTCCTCCAAGGGCAGGACCCCCATGCTGGGTGCCTAATAAAACACTCTCACCCACCCCTGGCCTCCACTTCTCTTCAGGGAAGGGCTGCCTGACACCCAGCGGGCAGCGCAGCCTGGAATGGGGTCAGCAACCTCTAACCATCCTGAACCCCTCTCTGCTCCTACATTTTTGAGGTCCCTGGCCCACCTTCCCTACTATGTCCTGCTCAGCTAGGCAGTTGCCACAGTAACCAGCAGAGTTCTGAGCTACAAGCTCAAGGCAGCTTGTCTTTGACTCTGAACAGTGTTACGCCCTTCTAACCGCTTTCCTTTGGACTAGCCTTGACTCCAGAGGTCTGGGTTACCCCACCCAGTTCTGAGGGTCTTGGTGCAGGGAGGTGGGCTGGGGATCGGGAGTCAGAGAGGGACGCCTGTAAGGAGAATGGTCTCTGTTCCCTCTCAGTCTTCCTTGCAGTCTTTATTTTTTAATTTTGTTTTTAAAAGATGGGGTCTTTTCCTATGTTGCCCAGGCTGGTCTCAAACCCCTGGTCTCAAGTAATCCTCCCACCTTGGCATCCCAAAGCTCTGGGGCGACAGGCGTGAGACCCTGTGCCTGGCCTCCTCGCAGTCCAGACAGCTGACTCAGGCTGGGGAGGAACCAGGGCAGGAACCCTGAGAGGTGGTCTCAGTGGGGTAGGTGGTCCACCAGTCTGCACTGGAGAATCAGACTCAAGTTCAAAGTCTTCCCAGACATCTGGTTTTGCCTGCTCCATGAATGATACACTAAGACGCTGAGGCCCAGAGGGTGAAGAGGGTGCGTCCACAGTGGCAGAGGGAGCAGGGCTCAGTGGTGTGCAAGCGAGGCTTCTGGTCCCCACCCAGGGCCTGGCTTACAGGGCGCTGGGTCTCAGTCACTGGGGCTTGGGCCGGCCCAGACGGGCATGCAGCTCCTGCATCATGCCAGGGTGTGCGAGGCCAAACCTGGAGGCAGAAGTCAGACCCGTGAGAATGGCTCCCCAGGTGCCCAAGGTCTCTTCCCCAACCCAGCTGAGTCACCCTGTGCCTACCCGTGTCCCAGGGGCCTTCTCCTGGCTGGCACTGGGGTCCCGTCATGCCTTGGAGGGCTTGGCTCAGGGGGTTCCTCCGGCTGGAGGAGTCTCTGCTCAGGGGCCGAAGGCTCCTCCTCCTCAGAAGGGTTGGGGACTGGGGGCTCCTCCTGCTGCTCCAGGGCCGGGGTCCGACGAAAAGAGGGCCGCGAGCGACGCTTCGAGGAGCTTCTCAAGAGGTGCACGCGGCTCCTTGGGACAGAGACATCTAGGAGGGATCCCGGGAGCAGAGCCTGCAGGAAAAGGGGCATGGAGAACCATGGAGCCAGCCTGGGGATTCCACTCGGTCCCCACCAGACCCCATCAGGAGCCCTCACCTCGCTCCAGCTGCTGGCAGCACCTCCTCTGGCACTGCTGATGGCCTCAGCTGTCTCAGCATTCCCAAGTGACCCCTGTGCAGCTTCTGCAGGGGCCTGGCATGTTGGCCACTCCTCCTGGCCCCTGATGTCCTCCAGGCTTTCTGGCTCAGTCTCCTTGGCCCCTGCCCTCCAGCCCCCAGTCACCATGAGACCCTCTGCATCAAGGAGCCTTGGTGGCTCTCCCTCGGGGTGGTGATCCCCATGCCGCCCCTTCCTGTCTTCCCTCTGTTCTCTCTCCTGCCATCCTGCAGCCTCTTCTTCCAACAGTGTCCACTCTTCTAAAAGCCCCCCAGCCTCCACCATGGCTCCTGTCCCCTCTGCCCTTGCTGTGTGGGAGCTCACACCATCCAGCCCACAACTGTCCTCTGCACCTGCAGATTCCCCAGCCTCTACCCGCCCTCCCCCATGGTCTCCCTCCCTGGCCTCAAAAGCCTCTGCTGGGCCGTCTCTGCCAGCCACCTCTTCCTCTGTTGACCCCTCCAGGCCAAACTCCTGCCCGCTTGCATCCTCTCCCGCTGCTGCCTCCTCCCTTTCTTTCAAGTCCCATCCTCGCCCAAACGCCCCTTCCAAAGCTTCCCCAGCACCAGCAGCGCTGACGTCTGGGACCACCTCACTCCCAATCATCTCAGCAGCCATGGAGCCGGTCTGTGTGTCCTCACGGTCATGGAGGCCTACAGCTGCCGCCTGCAGCCTCCAGCCTCTCCTGGACGTTCCATTGGCCTCCGCCTCCCCATCCTTGGTTTCCCTGGCATAGGCCTCTCCCAGCGACCGGCCTGGCCCTGAGTCTGCCCCTGTGCTTCTGTGCAGCTCCTGGTTCTCTGAGACAGACGTCTCTCCCTCCTCAATTCCACACCCTGTGTGTTTGGATGCCGGCCCCTCCCCACCTGCCTCTGGGACTTCTGGCGGTTCAGACTCTCCGTCTCCTTCGGCCTCAGCTAAAGGGGTCTGGCCTCCTGCAGCCTCCTCCTCCCGCTGCTCAGCAGGGGCTGCTTCCTCCTGGGTATTTCCTGGGAAGGCCTTGGAGGCCTCCGGCTTTACAAACCCCAGGAGCCTGGGACCTGCCTCCAGGCTCCTCTCCTCTTTGCTCAGGGTGAGAACTCCCCAGAGCTCCACCTCACCTGCCCACCCTTCCTCGGGTTGCTTGGTTGGGGTCTGGGTGCCCCCCATCAGCTCAGGCTCCTGGCCTTTGGAGATGTGTGTGAGGCCACCCCACTCCGCCCCCAGGGTGCTGCCGCTGGTCTGGGCTGCCTCACTCTCCTCCCCTGTGAGCTCCTCCTCAGGCCTGGCCTCTGGGGTTGCCTCCAAGTCAGCAGCTCCTTCAGCCTCTCCATCCGAGGGCAGCTCAGCCTCTGGGTCCCTGCCACTCCCTCTCTCCTCCCGGGCCTCCTCTGCCTGTACCACCTCCTCCAGCCCGGCCCGGTCAGCCCTGATCTCCAAGTGTCGCCTCACCTCACCCTCCTTCCCACGCAGGTCGGCCTGACCCTCAAAGCTCTCCCCTGCCTCCTGGCCTCCCACAGCCTCCCTCCCTGCTGTCTGGCTCTCAGCAGCCTCTTCCATTCTCTCAGTGCCCAGGGCCTGGGCCTGTTTGGGGAAAGGGCTCACCTCAGCCTCTCTCTCCTCATCCCCCTCCTCCTCTAGGACCCAGACTTTCCCAGTAGCCTGTAGGAGGCTTTCTCCTGGGATTGCTCCATATTCTGTCTCTCTGACTCCTAAGAAGTCAGCCTGCTCCTTGCCTGAGGTTGTCCAGGCCTCCTTGCCTCCTGAGACTGTCCCAGTCTCCTCTCCTCCTGAGGCTGCCTCCTCCCCTCCTGAGGCTGTCCCGGCCTCCTCTCCTCCTGAGGCTGCCTCCTCCCCTCCTGAGGCTGTCCCGGCCTCCTCTCCTCCTGAGGCTGCCTCCTCCCCTCCTGAGGCTGTCCCGGCCTCCTCTCTTCCTGAGGCTGCCTCCTCTCCTCCTGAGGCTGCCTCCTCTTCTCCCGAGGCTGTCCCGGCCTCCTCTCCTCCTGAGGCTGCCTCCTCCCCTCCTGAGGCTGTCCCGGCCTCCTCTCCTCCTGAGGCTGCCTCCTCTTCTCCTGAGGCTGTCCCGGCCTCCTCTCTTCCTGAGGCTGCCTCCTCTCCTCCTGAGGCTGCCTCCTCCCCTCCTGAGGCTGTCCCGGCCTCCTCTCCTCCTGAGGCTGCCTCCTCTTCTCCTGAGGCTGTCCCGGCCTCCTCTCCTCCTGAGGCTGCCTCCTCTCCTCCTGAGGCTGCCTCCTCTCCTCCTGAGGCTGCCTCCTCTTCTCCTGAGGCTGTCCCGGCCTCCTCTCCTCCTGAGGCTGCCTCCTCTCCTCCTGAGGCTGCCTCCTCTCCTCCTGAGGCTGCCTCCTCTTCTCCTGAGGCTGTCCCGGCCTCCTCTCCTCCTGAGGCTGCCTCCTCTTCTCCTGAGGCTGTCCCGGCCTCCTCTCCTCCTGAGGCTGCCTCCTCCCCTCCTGAAGCTGTCCCGGCCTCCTCTCCTCCTGAGGCTGCCTCCTCCCCTCCTGAGGCTGTCCCGGCCTCCTCTCCTCCTGAGGCTGCCTCCTCTCCTCCTGAGGCTGCCTCCTCCCCTCCTGAGGCTGTCCCGGCCTCCTCTCCTCCTGAGGCTGCCTCCTCTCCTCCTGAGGCTGTCCCGGCCTCCTCTCCTCCTGAGGCTGCCTCCTCCCCTCCTGAGGCTGTCCCGGCCTCCTCTCCTCCTGAGGCTGCCTCCTCTTCTCCTGAGGCCGCCTCCTCCCCTCCTGAGGCCGCCTCATCCCTGCCTGAAGTTGTCCCGGCCTCCTCCTGGCCTGAGGCTGTCCTGGCTTCCTCCCAATCTAAAATTATCCTGGCCTTCTCCCTACCTGGAGTTGTCCTAGCCTCCTCTCTGCCTAAAGTTGTCCAGTCCTCAGACTCTGCCCCTGGGCCCCGCATCTCCTGTGCCTCTCTGCTTTCACCGGCCTCCTCCACCACCACAACCTCTTCTTCCTTTCCAGCCCCTTCAGCCCTGGGCCCCTCAGTTTTCTCGGCATCAGCCTCCCTGATCCCCTGCTCAGTATCCAGGTCATCCCCTGCAGCCTTTATCCCATTGGCACCAGCCTTCCCCTCCTGCTCCCTGTGCCAGGTCCACTCTGACTCCACCCCTCTGGCCATCCCTGGCTCTCTTGCCCTGACCTCTTCTTCCTTCTCCTCCTCCTCCTCCTCCTGTTCCTGGATTCTCAGCCTCTCCTCTCTGTTCACTTCCTGTTCATCGGGCTCCTGCCTCTCCTGGGCCTGGCTGCTCCTGTCTTGGCAAGCCCTAGACCCTACCTTGGACTTCTTTCTGGCCTCCAAGGGGGCACTTGACTCCTGGCACCTGGCTGCCTTGGCTGCCTCCCCAGCCCCACTGTCCTGCCTCTCTGCTTGGGACGTATGGGAGCTGCCATCTCCGCAGCCCCAGGTCTGTTCCACAGCTGAGCTCCCTGCTTCACGTCTTCCGTCCTCCCCAGGCCCTCTCAGCCATCCAGCCCCCTGGCTTTGGCCACCACCTCTCCGGCCCTCCAGGCCCTTCTGGGCTTCCTCCTCTACAGGCTTCCCTGTCCTTCCCATTGCCACCGCCCCCAGTTCCTCAGCCGCCCGCGCCTCTGGCTCTACAGTGGGGACTGCATCTCCCAAGAGGTAGGAGACAAAGGTGCTGAGGGAATCCTAGAAAAAAAGAGGGAGGGGAGAGGCATTAAGGGGAGTCCCAGTGCTTTCCCGGAGGGCCCTGGCTGGAGGAGCCCAGGTTAAGGAAAAGGGTCCTGGGATCTGGGAGGAGAAGAGGATTTACAGAAGTAGCCAGAAAGGGCATCGACTAGGGTATGAGGATGCTGGTGTAGGGGTGGGGACTGAAATTTAGAAACGATTAGGCCGGAGCCTGCCTGATCCCAAGAAAGCAATCTCCAGTGTGAGGAGACCAAAGGGAGGAGGGGAAAGGTAAGGCCCCAGGGGAGGTGCCCAGAGGTGAGGCCCCAGGAAACGGTGTGCGAGTCTCGGGCAGCTCTTTGCCCCTCTCACCAGTGCCCCCCTCAAGGCCTGGTGCAGCCCAGGGAGGTGTAGCCGGAGAAAGTCCATCCTGTCTGTCTCTGTCCGTATGTCCAGAAAGCTGATAATGACTGTCCCCACCCACCAAGACAAGCCAGTCTTCCCCAGGACCCAAGACACTTCCTCTTCCCCTGTGTCTCCCTGACATGTCCCCACCCTGGGCCCTGCCCCTGGCCCCCGATGCCCATAGCAACCCCCACTGCAGCCTTGGAAATGGGTGAACATCACACAGGGACTTAGGCGCTCGTTTGGAAATAAAGGGCAAGGGAGAGGGCGGAAAGGACAAGGTGGGAGCAGGAGTCCTTAGAGCTGGGGGTGGGGAAGGGGGAGGGAGGGGACATGTGGCAACGGTAGCTCAAGTGACTCAGGTCTTGTATCCACACCTCAGCCATTTCCGTCTCCCCTACAAGCCGCAGGCCCTCTGCGAGAGGAAGCTGGGGTTTGTGGTTCCTGTTTTGCCTGAGGAGTAAGAGCAGCAGTGAAGAGGGTGCTGTTGGGAGCTCTGACACATTTCACTGTCATTACTGCTTCCCTGAGAGGCGGAAGGGGCTGGATTGGTGGCTCCAGTGCACAACCCCTCATCTATGATTAGCCTCGAAAGAGAGAACTTGGCTAAACTTTGTCCTGTAGCTTTATCTGTGTCTTCCTCCCATCTTCCTGTGACTTCCTTGATGGCAGATGCCAGGTATGAAATGCTGTTGCAATTCTAGAGCCCTGCACAGGTAATAGGATTCCACTTTCCATCAGTTGAGTGATGTGGGAGGCCTCCTCTCCTCCCCTCCCTGCCTGGCCTTTGGAGTCCCAGAGGCAGGCCTCCCAAAGTGCTGTGATTATAGGTGTGACCCACCGCTCCCTGCCGCCTCAGGATTTTTTTTTTTTTACCCTAAAGGGGAGGGGTCACATTTTTCTTTTTTATTTTACTTTTTATTTTTTAAGACTGAGTTTCACTCTGTCACCCAGGATGGAATGCAGTGGTGAGATCTTGGCTCTGCGTCCCGGATTCAAATGATTCTCTTGCCTCAGCCTCCCAAGTAGCTGGGATTACAGGTGTGCCCCACACCTGTAATTTTTGTATCTTTAGTATAAACTCGTTTTCACCACGTTGGCCAGGCTGGTCTTGAACTCCTGACCTCAGGTGATCAGCCCACTTTGGCCTTCCAAAGTTCAGGGATTGCAGGCAGGAGCCACCTCGTCCCGCCAGAGGGCACATTTCAAACAGCATTCTGAAGTCCTGGTGGTAAGAAAGAGCAGACAGAGGTGACAGCGCACAGTGGCGATGAGGCCAAGGACAAGAGAATGCAGGATGCCGCTCCCCACCTAGAGGAAGGTAAGGGTATGACTCCTTATTTGGAACTACACAAAGTGACCTTGCTCTACATCTCTTCCCATACCCTCCTTCTTTCCTCCCAAGCGCCACTTTCCTATTCCAATTAGGGCAATTGGATGAAATCACAGAATCAGAATCTTAGGCCTTAATTAAAATAATGGCTCATGCCTATAATCCCAGCACTTTGGGAGGCTGAGGCAGGTGGATCACGAGGTCAACAGATTGAGACCATCCTGGTCAACAAGGTGAAACCCCGTCTCTACTAAAAAAAAAAAAAGTACAAAAATTAGCTGGGCGTGGTGGTGCCTGCCTGTAGTCCCAGCTACTCGGGAGGCTGAGGCAGGAGAATTGCTTGAACCCAGGAGGCGGAGGTTGCGGTGAGCCGAGATCGTGCCATTGCACTCCAGTCTGGGTAACAACAGCGAAACTCCATCCCAAAATAATAATAATAATAATAATTTAGTCTGGCGGAGCGTGGTGGTGGCTCATGCCTGTAGTTACAGCACTTTGGGAGGCTGAGGCGGGTGGATTGCTTGAGCCCAGGAGTTCGAGGCCAGCCTGGGCAACATGGCAAAATCCTGTCTCTACAAAAAGTACAAAAATCAGCTGGGCACAGTGGTGTGCGCACCTGCTGTTGCCGCTACTCGGGAGGCGGAGGTGGAAGGATTGCCTGAGCCTGGGAGGTCAAGGTTGCAGCAAACCAAGATCCTACCACTGCACTCCAGCCTGGGCAGCAGAGCAAGACTCTGTGTTAAAAAAAAAAAAAAAAAATCGGGTCGAAGCACCGACTTTGATGGAGGCAGGAATCCTGCAGCGGCCTACAGCCAACCCAATGGCTCCCTGCCTCTGGTGCTCTATTTCTTATCACCATACAGGTCTCTAAGGTCACCTTTAGGTCTAACATTGTATGATCATCAGCAACTTTCCCATTTTTTTCATATATATACATATATATGTATATATATATCTTCTTTTCTTTTTACATTTTTCTTTTTCTTAGACAGGATCTCTGTCGCCCAGGCTGGAGTGCAGTGGCGCGATCATAGCTCACTGCAGCTTCAACCTCCTAGGGACAGTGATCCTCCCACCTCAGCCTCCAAGGTACCTACGACTACAGGCATGCGCCACCATGCCCAGCTAATTTTTGTTGTGTATGTATGTATGTATATATATTTGTGCCTTGGTTTTCTCATCTGTAACACCGGGGGCTGAACTGCCGTGATATTTTTTGGTTCTAGGATAATTTGGAAAAGGGAATCTCTTAACATCTTGGATACTGTCAATAGATAATTCATGAAAACGCCTTAGGTGGGTGTTATGTTTATTTAGGTCTCTAAAATAATTTGTAAGGACAACAGATGGGAGTAAGAATGATCTGAAGCTGGTCGTCTTTGTTCGCAACCGAAACAGTCCTGCCTAAAAAAAAAAAAAGGAGGGGTGTTGGGGGGAGGAGTAGGCAGGTGGCCATATTTGTTTCTGGCAAGTGAGTACTGAAGGAAAAGGAGCTGAAGCCTCCCGCAGCCACGACTAGTACTGGCAAGATACCGTCTCGGTCTTGGGCGCCACTGATCTAAGGTCATGGCTCTGCTTGCTGTTCCCACCCACTCCAGTTTAAAACCTGCGGTTCTAAGGTTCTCTGGCTTCTCCCTTTCTCACGCTCCAAAGCTGAGAAGGCCCAAAGCGAAGACAGAGAGGACCCAGAAGAAGGACCCCCGAGCACGTGATGGGGGAACACGCGGGTGCTGTCACGTGATCCGACAACCTGCCTCCTCTCTGGGCCGAACGTTCAGCTGCTCTTAAAGGTACAGGCCGCAGGGTCCCTGCTGTGGACGGGGCGGGGGCAGAGTCCTATGGGTGGGGCGTGGTGGGTCGTGGTGGGTCGTGAGGCGCGCGAGATGGAGTCCCGGGCTTCCTTGATGGATCGCGGGGCGCGAGTGCCGCAGACAAGCCGGAGCTGGGACCGACAATCGGACGTTGATCCTTGTCGCCTGTCACAGACCCTCATCCCTCCCGTGGGAGCCCCCTCTGCACAGTCTGTGACCCTGGACCCTTGGGGGACCTGAACTTGAGGTCATGAGAAGCTGTGCGGGCTCGCGGCGGCGCCTTTCGGATTCCGAGGGTGAGTATTTCTGCCACCCTCCTAGGAGCGACCACCTCTGGCTCGCTGCCCACCCGAGGGTAATGAGAGCTGACTCGGCCTCGGGAGGACACGCATGGGGCCGTCGTGTGCCTGAGAGTGGGTGGGGGTCATGCCCTCTTCTCACTCTCCCAGGGGAGGAGACCGTCCCGGAGCCCCGGCTCCCTCTGTTGGACCGTCAGAGCTCGCATTGGAAGAATGCGGTGGGCTTCTGGTGAGTGGCCTGAGAGTTCAGCAAAAGTGACAGTGGCGTAGGAAGAGGGAAGTGACAGGAGGACAGGGGGAAGAAAGAGTTGAGCTGCTCAAAGGAACTGAACCCACAAAGATTTACCGAATCCACTGGTTTGCCCCCAGGCAGCATGTAAATTTTCCAAACTTCATTCCTTACCATCTTCCGGATTTGGCCAGCTCCTCATACCACCTGTAGGATTATTTACTTGTGTTTTTCCTCCAGCCATTTCAGCCTTGAAGTTTTTTAATGCACGCATTTTTAAAAAGAAAACTTTAAATCATTACTCCATATGGAAAACCAGTATTTACCTAATGAACATTTAAATAAATGTATCACTACTAAAACTTTTTATTTTAATTTATCTTATTATTCTTTTTGAGACGGGATCTTACTCTTGCCCAGGTTGGAATGCAGTGGTGCAGTCACAGCTCACTGAAGCCTGGAACTCCTGGGCTCCCACTTCCCCGTCCAGGTGGAGGTGTGCAGTACCACACCTGGCTAATTTTTTTATTTTTTATAGAGACGGGATCTCACTTTGGGACCTGGCGTCCAACCCCTGGCCTCAAGTGATCCTCCTACCTCAACCTCCCAAAGTGCTGAGATTACAAGCATGAACCACCATGCTGGGCCTAAAAGTTTTTTATTTTATGTTATTATTTTATTTTTGAGATAGAGTCTCAGTCTGTCGCCCAGGCTGGAGTGCAGTTGCCTGATCTCGGCTCACCAAAACCTCCGCCTCCCAGGTTCAAGTTATTCTCCTGTCTCAGTCCCCCGAGTAGCTGGGATTATAGGCATGTGTCACCACACACAGCTAATTTTTTGTATTTTTAGTAGAGATGGGATTTCACCATGTTGGCCAGGCTGGTCTCGAACTCCTGATCTCTGGTGATCTGCCTTCCTCCACCTCCCAAAGTGTTGGGATTACAGGCGTGAGCCACGGCGCCCAACTCTAAAACTTTTTAAAAGGTCATCCATCCATCCACCTTCAAAACTTATTCAAATACCAAGCCTGGGAAATACTTTTAGCATTAACCTAAATGTTGGAGTTGGGTTGGAAGTGGCTTCCATATTTCCACAGACTGGAAATCTGTGGCACGAGACCCAGATTCCCTCCCATTGCTGAGTGCTGCTCTGGGAGATGAGAGTAAGCAGACAGAACCTTCCTGGATCCTATAGGCCTTTGATCATATCTTGTTTTGATCCATGCAGCATCTTGTGGGGTTTTGATCCATGCAGCATCAGGAGAGAAATTTGTATCCCCATTTTACATATGAGTAGACTGAGAAAGTGGGAAGAGGCAGACTTGGGACTTGAACACAGTCCCTTCAATTTCCAGCTCCAGGATTTTTTTCTTTTCTTTTCTTTTCTTTTTTTTTGAAACAGAGTCTTGCCCTGTTGCCCAGTCTGGAGTGCAGTGGCGTGATCTTGGCTCACTGCAACCTCTGCCTCCCTGGTTCAGGTGATTCTCCTGCCTCAGCCTCCCAAGTAGCTGGGATTACAGACTCGAGCCACCATGACCAACTGATTTTTGTATTTTTAGTAGAAACAGGGTTTCATCGTGTTGGCCAGGCTGGTCTCAAACTCCTGGCCTCAAGTAATCTGCCCGCCTTGGCCTCCCAAAGTGCTGGGATTACAAGTGTGAGCCACCGCACCTGGCTGCCCCAGGATTTTTTTTTTTCTTACTGTACTGCAGTGTATCAGAGGATGAGAAATGCCCCAGAGACTGAGTCCCAGTGGGAGCCCAGAGGAGAGAGTGGTCGCAGAGAGCTTCCAGGAGAGGCCTTAGAGGCAGGAAGTGAATCCAAGGCTGAGATCTCAAAGCCCCTATTTCTTCCGTTTTATTTTTTATTTTTGTGACCTGTCACCCAGGCTGGAGTGCAGTGGCATGATCACAGGTCACTGCAGCATCTAACTCCTGGACTCAAGCAGTCCTCCCCCTCAGCCTCCCAAGTAGCTGGGATAGTAAGCCATCACACCTGGCTAAATTTTAAATTTTTTGTAGAGACAGGGGTCTCACTATGTTGCCCAAGCACCAAAGCCTGTATTTCTGACCCCAACACTGTATGAGGATGGAATCTGGTGATAGAGAAAAAAAAGAGGGAGCTGATTGTAGGGCACAGGTAAGGGGAGATTTGGCGTGAAGGCTGCAGATGGCTGCAGGATCCAAAGGAAGTTGAGACCTGGCCTGCTCCTTCCAGGCTGCTGGGCCTTTGCAACAACTTCTCTTATGTGGTGATGCTGAGTGCCGCCCATGACATCCTTAGCCATGAGAGGACATCAGGAAACCAGAGCCATGTAAGTGACCCTTTCTCTACCACTACCACCATGGTTAGGCCCTGTGGGAAGATGAGGGCATGGGACAGAGGCCCCTTTGAAAAACTCATGGAATGGGGTGGGACAAGGGGGATAAAGTTTCTAGTCTCTGGCTGGGCGTGGTGGCTCATGCCTTTAATCCCAGCACTTTGGGAGACCAAGACGGGCGGATCACCTGAGGTCAGGTGTTTGAGACCAGCCTGGCCAACATGGTGAAACCCCGTCTCTACTAAAAATACAAAAAAATTAGCTGGGCACGGTGGTGGGCACCAGTAATCCCAGCTACTCGGGAGGCTGAGGCAGGAGAATTGCTTGAACCCAGGAGGCGGAGGTTGCAGTGAGGCAAGATTGCGGCACAAGATCACATCACTGCACTCCAGCCTGGGTGACAGAGGGAGACTCAGTCTCAAAAAAAAAAAAAAAGTTTCCAGTCTCCCAGACCCCCAGAGCAGGAAGGGAATTTAAGAGATTCATGGGCACCAGTTTTGCAAACTTTAACATTGGCTGGGTGAGACAGTCATCTACAGCAAGGTTTCTTAACCTGGGCCCTATGACATTTTGGGCGGGATGAGTCTTTGTTGTGGGGTTCTCCTGTGCATTGTGAGACATTTAGCAGCATCCCTGGCTTCTACCTACTCAATGCCAATAGCACACCCTGTGATCCCCAGTAGTGACAACCAAGAATGTCTCTAAACATTGCGAAATATTCCCTGGAGGGGTGGTACTGCCCTTGGTTGAGAACCACCTGTCTGTGGTAAGCTGGGGCGTGCATGTCCCATCCAAAGGGAGCAGCTACCACCTGGCAGGTCCAAGATCAGATTTTCTGGCAACCCACATTTTTATATGAAAGCTCTTGAGGCTGGGCTCAGTGGCTCACACCTGTAATCCCAGCACTTTGGGAGGCCGAAGAGGGTGGATCACCTGAGGTCAGGAAACCACCCTGGCCAACATGGTGAAACCCAGTCTCTACTAAAAATACAAAAATTAGTGGGCGTGGTGGTGCATACCTGTAGTCCAAGCTACTCAGGGGGCTGAGGCAGGAGAATTGCTTGAACTGGGAGATGGAGGTTGCAGTGAACCAAGATCACGCCTCTGCACTCCAGCCTGGGCAACAGAGTGAGACTGCATTTAAAAAAAGAAGAAAGCTCTTGAATGTGTTACCTAAACAAAATCCATTTACAGGGCCATTTTTGGCCCGTGTCTAGCAGGGACTAAAGTAGAGACTCATATGGGAACCCCCTCTTCATCGTGCATGCAGAGAAGCTGAGGTCCTGAGAGGTCGGTCACTGCTGACCCAAAGCCATCCTTCAAGTGAAGGCAGAGCTGGGGCTGGAACCAGGCTCTGTGTGTATCTCTCTGCCTCCTGGAGTGAAAGATGTTCTTCTTTCCCATCAGGTGGACCCAAGCCCAACACCCATCCCCCACAACAGCTCATCACGGTTTGACTGCAACTCTGTCTCTACAGCTGTGCGTACTTATCTCACCTGGTCCCCTCCTGACCCAGGGACCCTGGGTCTGCAGACCCCACTCCTAGCCCTTCACTACCCAGCTGGGACTGTCATGATGAAAACAATTGAGACCTGGGCCAGGTGTAGTGGCTCACGTCTGTAATCCCAGCACTTTGGGAGGCCACAGTAGAAGGATTACTTGAGCCTAGGAGTTTGAGACCAGCCTGGGCAATCTAGTGAGATCCCAGCTTAAGAAAGAAAAAAATGTATATGTAATAATTGAGACCTTAATATAATTTCTGAGGCTGAAGTTGGTTGATCATCTGCCGGGAGTTCGAGACCAGTCTGGCCAATATGGTGAAACCCTGTCTCTACTAACAATACAAAAATTAGCCAGGCATGGTGGCATGTGCCCATAATCCCAGCTACTCGGGAGGCTGAGGCAGGAGAATCACTTGAACCAGAGAGGCAGAGGTTACAGTGAGCCGAGATCAAGCCATGGCACTCCAGCCTGGGCGACAGAGTGAGACTCTGTCTCTGTCTCAAAATATATATATAGATATAAAATTTCTGAGCTGTTTCTGTACGTAGCGTATATTAGCTCATTTAATCCACACAGCAGTTCTGTGGGCTAGACGCTGTGATATCCCCATTTTCCACATAAGGAAATTGAAGCTCAGAGAATATAAACTCTTGACACACAACTAAGGAGTGGCAGAGCTGGGACTTGAACCCAGCTCTGCCTGACTCCAGAGCCTGTGTTTGTAGCAGACCTGTTTGGCCAGCTCCTGCCTCTCCTTGGCCACCTTGCTGGGAGGGTTATACCCTGGAAGCTCTGGGGTCTCACTCTATTCTCCTGTCTCAGGCCGTGCTCCTGGCGGACATCCTCCCCACACTCGTCATCAAATTGTTGGCTCCTCTTGGCCTTCACCTACTGCCCTACAGGTCTGCATGGGGGTGGCGGGAGGCAGGGTGGGCATGGGGAGCTGAGAGTGGGGAGGCTGGGAGGGCTGGGGAGCTGAGAATAGAGGCTGACCTCCCCCTTCCCTCCCCTTCTCACCCCCTCAGCCCCCGGGTTCTCATCAGTGGGATTTGTGCTGCTGGAAGCTTCGTCCTGGTTGCCTTTTCTCATTCCGTGGGGACCAGCCTATGTGGTGAGTGTGTGGTTCTGTGTCAGGTGGGGGGCCCCAAGGAATCACATTGGATCATTTGTGGGGAGAGTCTCCCCAGCCTCCGATAGGAAAAGGATTCATTCTGTCACCGGCAGAAGCCTGCTAGGAGGGCTGTCAGCAGTGGAGGGGATGGGAGAAACTGGATGGATTAGATGGAGATTGAGGTCAACAGAGTCAAGACTCTGGGATGGGCCAGGCATGGTGTCTTATGCCTGGAATCCTAGCAGTTTGGGAAGCTGAGACAGGCGGATCACCTGAGGTCAGGAGTTTGAAACCAACCTGGCCAACATGGTGAATCCCCGTCTCTACCAAAAACACAAAAATTAGTTGGGTGTGGTGGCACACACCTGTAATCTCAGCTACTCAGGAGGCTGAGGCAGGAGAATCTCTTGAACCCAGGAAGCAGAGGTTGCAGTGAGCCAAGATCGCGCCACTGCACTCCAGCCTGGGCAACAGAGCGAGACTCCGTCTCAAAAAAAAAAAAAGAAAAGTAAAAGACTGTGATGGAAGGGCGGAGACATCAAGGGTGCCTGTCTGCCCCTGGTCTGATGACTGGATGGATGGAGGTACCACTCCCCATGAAGGGACTCGCAGAGGATGGGGGCTCTGCTTCAGACCTGGAACCTGGCCCGTGTGTGGGATCTGTTGGAGCCTCTCTAGCTGATACCTAGGAGGCCATGGCCAGACACCTTAGGGGCCTGGGCAAGGCAAGGTGTGACCATCCCAGTGCTTCTCTCCCTCAGGTGTGGTCTTGGCTAGCATCTCATCAGGCCTGGGGGAGGTCACTTTCCTCTCCCTCACTGCCTTCTACCCCAGGTAAGCAGGCAGAGGAGGGAGTGTGGGGAGAGACTGTCCCATGGCTGGCCTTGGTCCTCCTGAATGCCCCTGTGTTCTCCTTCCCAGGGCTGTGATCTCCTGGTGGTCCTCAGGAACTGGGGGAGCGGGGCTGCTGGGGGCCCTGTCCTACCTGGGCCTCACCCAGGCCGGCCTTTCCCCTCAGCACACCCTGCTGTCCATGCTGGGTATCCCTGCCGTGCTGCTGGCCAGGTGAGCTGCCCTGAGCCAGGAGGGAGAGGGGTCCAAGGAGAGAAAACTTGACCATGGCTGTGTGCGGTAGAGAGAAAACTTGACCATGGCTCATGCCTGTAATCCCAGCACTTTGGGAGGCCAAGAAGGGCGGATCACCTGAGGTCAGGAAACTATCCTAGCCAATATGGTGAAACCCCGTCTCTACTAAAAATACAAAAATTGACCAGGCACAGTGGCTCAAGCCTGTAATCCTAGCACTTTGGGAGGCCGAGGTGGGTGGATCACAAGGTAAAGAGATCGAGACCATCCTGGCCAACATGGTGAAACCCTGTCTCTACTAAAAATACAAAAATTAGCTGGGCGTGGTGGCATGCGCCTGTAGTCCCAGCTACTCGGGAGGCTGAGGCAGGAGAATTGCTTGAACCCAGGAGGCGGAGGTTGCAGTGAGCTGAGATTGTGCCACTGCACTCCAGCCTGGCATGTGGTGACAAAGTGAGACTCTGTCTCAAAAAAAAAAAAAAAATACAAAAATTAGCCAGATGTGGTGGCAGGTGCATGTAATCCCAGCTACTCAGGAGGCTGAGACAGGAGAATCGCTTGAATCCGGGAGACAGCGGTTACAATGAGCAGAGATTGCGCTGCTGCATTCCAGCCTGGGCAACAGAGTGAGACTCTGTCTCAGGAAAAAATAAAGAAAGAAGAAAAATCTTGATCATGATTGCATCTTCATGTCCCTGTAGCCTTGCTCTGAAGGGAGGCGGAATCCGGACTCTGATAGCCCTGGGTGTGAGTCCTGGGGCTGCTAGTTTTTAGCTGCGTGGCTTTGAACAAGTCACTCTACATCTCTGAATCCTCAGTTTTCCCATATTTCAAATGGCAGTCGTTCTTGCTTTCCTGGGAGGTGATGAGTATAATGCCTTCCAGCACAGTGTGGTTCCCAAGGTGATCAGAAGTAGAACGAGGGTGGACTTTATTTGATTAGTTCTTTTTCTCTTCTTTTTTTTAAAGACAGAGTCTCACTCTGTCACTCAGGCTGGAGTGCAGTGGCTGGCATGATATTGGCTCACTGCAACCTCAGCCTCCCGGGCTCAAGTGCTTCTCCTGCCTCAACCTCCCGAGTAGCTGGGACTACAGGCCTGTACCACCACGCCTGGCTAATTATTTGTATTTTTAGTAGACACAGGGTTTCACTGTGTTGGCCAGGCTAGTCTCGAACTCCTGACCTACCTGCCTTGGCCTCCTATAGTGCTGGGAATACAGGGGTAAGCCACTGCACCCAGCCTGATTAGTTCTGTGTGTATTTTCCTGCATATTAGGAAACAATTTGAACTAGCCAATCACACCTGGCCCTTTACAAGATTAGTGCTTAGGACAAATCCAGGTAGAAAAAGTTAGTCCATTGGCCAGGCACGGTGGCTCACACCTGTAATCCCAGCACTTTGGGAGGCCAAGGTGGGTGGATCACCTGAGGTCAGGAGTTCAAGACCAGCCTGGCCATCATGGTGAAACCCCATCTTTTAAAAAAAAAAGAAAAAAAAAAAAGTGAGGCCATTTAAAGGAAATTATTAAGTAAAAATTATTATATACAGGAGGAATATGGATATGGCAAATAACGTGAAGCCAGAACCTTAGTGACTAAAATCGAGGAAGTTCTGGCCTAGCACAGAGCGAATGTATAATTAATGGGAGCTAGAATAATCATTAGAATAATAATGGCAAGAAAACATAACTGATTCGCTTAGTGTGGCCCAGTAGTCCAAACAAAGGCCTTCTGCTCATGCCTGTAATCCCAGTGCTTTGGGAGGCTGAGGCAGGAGGACCACTTGAGGCCAGGAATTTGAGACCACCCTGGGCAACATAGCAAGACCCCCATCTCTACAAAAAATTGAAAATATGAGATGGGCTTGGTGGCACATGCCTGTAGTCCCAGCTGCTTGGGAGGCTGAGGCAGGAGGATTGCTTGAGCCTTGGAGACTGAGGCTGCAGTGAGTTATGATTGAACCACTGCACTCCAGCCTGGGTAACAGAGAAAAACCCTGTCTCTGAAAGAAATCAAAACAAAACAAAGGCCCATGGATAGGAACAACAAGGAGATAAATTCAGCTCCAGCTGGGCACAGTGGCTCACGCCTGTAATCCCAGCACTTTGAGAGGCTGAGGCAGGCGGATCACTTGAATTCAGGAGTTCAAGACCAACCTGGCCAACATGGTGAAACCCTGTCTTTACTAAAAATAAAAAATTAGCCAGATGTGGTGGCACGTGCCTGTAGTCTCAGCTACTTGAGAGGCTGAGGCAGGAGAATCGCTTAAACCCAGGAGGTGGAGGTTGCAGTGAGTCAAGATCACACCACTGCACTCCAGCCTAGGCAACAGTGAGACTCTGTCTAAAAAAAAAAAAATCAGCTCCAAAGAAGGATGCCTTTGCCTGTAATTGGAGCTCTCCAGCACAGGGCAGGCACCTTAGAGGCAGTGAGCTACCCATCTTTGGAAGTGTTCAACAGTAGAGGTGTTCCCTGGGAAAGAGTGGCCTAGACGGTTCCTGGGACCTTCCCAGCCCAGCAGGGCTCTCTGACCTTACCTTCCTCCTCCTCCTAGCTATTTCTTGTTACTCACTTCTCCTGAGCCCCAGGACCCTGGAGGGGAAGAAGAGGCAGAGCGTGCAGCCCGGCAGCCTCTCATAGGAACCGAAGCCCCAGAGTCGAAGCCAGGTAGGAGACACAGACCCTCTGGAGGTTACTTTCTTTCTCTCTGGGTTTGGTATTTTCCTCTCTGCAATGGACACAGTTACGGGGGGAAAGAGAGTGGGCGTACTGGTTATGGGAAAAGCTTTCATCTATTTCAGAAATACTTGTTGAAGCCGAGCACTGTGGCTCATGCCAGTAATATCCCAGCACTTTGGGAGGCTGAGGCAGGAGGATTGCTGGAGCTCAGGAGTTTGAGTCCAGCCTGGGCGACAGAGCAAGACCTTATCTATCAAAAAAAAAGAAAGAGAGAGAAGAAGGAAGAAAAGAGGGAGGGAGGGAGGGAGTCAGGGAAGGAAGGAGAACAAGGAAGGAGAGCTCCAATTATGGACAAAAGCTTCCTCCTTTGGAGCTGAATTTTTTTTTTTTTTTTGAGACAAAGTCTCACTCTGTTGCCTAAGCTGGAGTGCAGTGGCACCATCTTGGCTCACTGCAAGATCCTTCTTACCCTGTACCAGGCATTCCAGTCATAAGCGCTGAGGCCCTGCAGTGGGGATGAGCTGGGATGTTCTAGAACCAGAGAAGGGCCAGTGAGACTGGGCAGGGTGGGCCGATGGCCAGCTGTGGAGCTGTACAAGAGACGTTGGCTGGGTGCAGTGGCTCACGCCTGTAATTCCAGCACTTTAGGAGGCCGAGGCAAGCGGATCACCTGAGTTTAGGAGTTCAAGACCATTGTGGCCAATAGGGAGAAACCCCATCTCTACTAAAAATACAAAAATTAGCCAGGTATGGTGGTGCATGCCTGTGATCCCAGCTACTAAGGAAGCTGAGGCACAAGAATCGCTTCAACTCAGGAGGCGGAGGTTGCAGTAAGTCAAGATCGCGCTACTGTACTCCAGCCTGGGTGACAGAGTAAGACTCCATCTTAAAAAAAAGAGACAGAGATGTGAAGAAGTCTCACCTGGTTAGCTCTTGTTTTTCATCGTGGTAAACTATGTACATTACTCAGTGTTTACCATTTTATATTTTATTTTATTTTTATCTTATTTTATTTTTTTTTTTGAGACGGAGTTCTGCTCTTGTTGCCCAGGCTAGAGTGCAAGGGCACAATATCGGCTCACTGCAACCTCTGCCTCTAGGGTTGGAGTGATTCTCCTGCCTCAGCCTCCCAAATAGCTGGGATTACAGGCATGTGCCACCATGACTGGCCAATTTTGTATTTTTAATAGAAATGGGGTTTCTCCATGTTGGTCAGGCTGGTCTCAAACTCTCAACTTCAGGTGATCTGCTCGCCTCGGCCTCCCAAAGGGCTGGGATTACAGGTGTGAGCCACCACATCTGGCCATTTTAACCATTTTTAAATGTCCAATCCAGTGGCATGTAATTCAGTTCCCACTACTGCGTGGTCTGGTTAATTCTGGCACACCGGCGCCTCTGCCGAGTCTTAGTGTGAAAACTTTATCTGCCCTTCTCTCTCCGTTCCCCTGCAGGCTCCGGCTCCAGCCTCTCCTTTCGGGAAAGATGGACAGTGTTCAAGGTTTGGATGAAGGCTGGGGTGTGTCGCCGTGGGGGTTGCCCACCTCCGGGCACCCCGCTTAGATCTTCCGCCTCTTCCAGGGTCTGCTGTGGTATATTGTCCCCTTGGTCGTGGTTTACTTTGCTGAGTATTTCATCAACCAGGGACTTGTGAGTGAGGGGCGCTGGGAGGGGTGTGCAGGTGGTGACTGGGGCTGGGACCCACAGAGCTCTGTCCATCTCCCCTGTCTGGTCTTTGCTGCAGTTTGAACTCCTCTTTTTCCGAAACACATCCCTGAGTCATGCTCAGCAGTACCGCTGGTAAGAGGAGCAAGATACGGTGGGCTGGGAAGGTGCTGAGGTGATGGGGCTGCCCTACCCAGTAGGCACCCGGGGGAGCAGGTTGTTGCCTGGAGGAGCCTCCTCCCACCCCCTGCCCCCACCTTAGGTACCAGATGCTGTACCAGGCTGGCGTCTTTGCCTCCCGCTCTTCTCTCCGCTGCTGTCGAATCCGTTTCACTTGGGCCCTGGCCCTGCTGCAGGTACCAAGCCCCTGCCCCTCACTCCACTCCCACCTTGGCTCCCAGCGTCCCCAAACCCCCACTTCCCACTATCACTGGGAAGTGTAAATTTTTTTTTTTTTTTTTAGACAGAGTCTGGCTCTGTCGTCCAGGCTGCAGTGCAATGGCACAATCTCGGCTCACTGCAACCTCTGCCTCCCAGTTTCAAGTGATTCTCCTGCCTCGGTCTCTTGAGTAGCTGGGATTACAGGCTCCTGCCACCATGCCAGGCTAATTTTTGTATTTTTAGTAGAGATGTGGTTTTACCATGTTGGCTGATTTCAAATTCCTGACCTCAGGTGATCTGCCCACCTCGGCCTCCCAAACTGCTGGGATTACAGGGAAGTGTAAATTGTACACTCTCATTTCTCTCTTTTTTTTTTTGAGGCGGAGTTTCACTCTTGTTACCCAGGCTGGAGTGCAATGGCGTGATCTCGGCTCATTGCAACCTCTGCCTCCTGGGTTCAGGCAGTTCTCTTGCCTCAGCCTCAGTAGCTGGGATTACAGGCATACGCCACCATGCCCAGCTAATTTTTTGTATTTTTAGTATAGACAGGGTTTCACCATGTTGACCAGGATGGTCTCGATATCTTGATCTCGTGATCCACCCGCCTCGGCCTCCCAAAGTGCTGGGATTATAGGCGTGAGCCACCATGCCTGGCCTACTCTATCATTTCTTAGCACAGGCAACTGAAGGCCGGCAGGGCTCCATGTAAAATGTATAGCCTCAGGAGCAAGCAAAGCTGGTGCAAAACCAGGCTTCAGTACTCAGCCACTGTGTGACTGTGGGCAGGTCTCAGAACCTCTCTGAGTCTCAGTTTCCTCATGTATAAATCGGGTGTAGCCAATACCTATTTTTCAGGGTAGTTGTAAGAAATAGAGATGAGGGAAAGACTGGAAGAACAAGATTTTGTGGTGTGTGTGTGCGTCTGTGTGTATGTTGTTGTTTGTTTGTGTTTTTAGTGGAGACACAGTTTCTTACAGTTGGTCAGGCTTGTCTCCAATGCCCGACCTCAGGTGATCCCCCTGCCTTGGCCTCCCAAAGTGCTGGGATTACAGGTGTGAGCCACAGTGCCCGACTGTGGTTTTTTTTTTTTATAAGAGTTGGACTTAGGCCGGGCCAGGTGGCTCATGCCTGTAATCCCAGTACTTTGTGAGGCTGAGGCAGGTAGATCATTTGAGCCTGGAAGTTAAAATCCAGCCTGGGCAACATGGCAAAATCACACCTCTACAAAAGTTAGCCAGGGGTGGTGTTGCACACCTGTAGTCCTAGCTACCTGGAAGCTGAGGTGGGAGGATCACTTGAGCCCAGGAGGCCAAGGCTGCCGTGAACTGTTATGCCACTGCAGTGCAGCCTAGGCAACAGAGCGAGACCCTGTCTCCCGAAAAAAGAAAGAAAGAAAACGTCAGGACCTTGCTCTGTCTCCCAGGCTGCAGTACAGTGGCATGATCATAGGACACTTACTTCATGCAGAGAGACATTATTTCATACAAACATTATTTCGAATAATGTTTCTAACTATAAGAAAATGTACAGTTCTTTTATTCCAGATGGTTGATTATAAGAGTCAGTGACTTTGTAGTCAATGGGTTATTTATCTTAAGAGTGCTGAGCAAATTCAACTGCCCTCGACAAACAGTAGTTTACAGCCTTGAGGGCACAAACGCCCTTCCTTACAGCAGTCTACTACAGGAGTTTCAGATAACCAGCATCCACTGTTTCAAGGTTACAAATCCACAGCCCCTGAAGGTAATTGTTACAATAAACTTTCAACCGTGATAGCAAAGTCCTCTGCCCTTAAAATTTAGGAACTCAGCCTCCTAAGTAGCTGGGATTACAGGCACACACCACCATGCCCAGCTGATTTTTGTGTTTTTTAGTAGAGATGGGGTTTCGCCATGTTGGCCACGCTGATCTTAAACTCCTGACCTCAGGTGATCCACCTGCCTCAGCCTCCCAAAGTGCTGGGATTACAGCCGTGAGCCAGCACTCACAGCTGCTATACTGGGTTTTTATAATTTGTAAATCGTTTTAGCTGGCCAGGAGTTGACTCATGCCTATAATTCCAGCACTTTGGGAGGCTGAGCCATGTGGATCACCTTAGGTCAGGTGTTCGAGACCAGCCTGGCCAACATGGCAAAATCCCATCTCTACTAAAAATACAAAAATTAGCCAGGGGTGGTGGTGGGCACCTGTAGTCACAGCTATTTGGGAGGCTGAGGCAGGATAATTGCTTAACCCCGGAAGGCGGAGGTTCCAATGAGCCAAGATCGAGCCACTGCACTCCTGCCTAGCCAACAGAGCGAGACTCCGTCTCAAAAAAAAAAAATGGTTTTAGCTATGATTTTAACCAAGCCTGTTTCATAGGTAGGGCTTATATCATTTATTTTCATTACAGAAAGCACCTAGAAGATGAAAGTGTTGGGAGTGTTTCACTGATTCCATTAGTATCACTGGGATGTGTCCTTTTTTCTTTTCTTTTTTTTTTTTTGAGATGGAGTGTCGCTTTGTTGCCCAGGCTGGAGTACAGTGGCGTGATCTCAGCTCACTGCAACCTCCGCCTCCCAGGTTCAAGAAATTCTTTTGCCTCAGCCTCCCTAGTAGTTGGGATTACGGGCATGCGCCACCATGCCTGGCTAATTTTTGTATTTTTTAGTAGAGATGGGGTTTCACCATGTTGGCCAGGCTGGTCTCGAACTCCTGATCTCAAGTGATCCACCTGCTTCAGCCTCCCAAAGTGCTGGGATTACTGGCACAAGGCACCACACCCAGCCAGGAGTGTGTCCTTTTTAATGTTCATCTTTAAGTCCACCTCAGACTTAATTAATTAGGACCCTTAGCGGGAGGCCTGCTTGGGGCATTTATACCTAGATCCCCACGTGATTCTTATGTATACGAAGAGTATGAACCTCCAAGAGGCAGCCTCCACACTGCACAAGAGGCAGCGTGGTGTCATCAGGGCTGGGAGAGTGGCACCTCCCTGAGACACTTGGGCACAGAGGCGGGACCTACACCCTGGGTCAAGGAGGCTTCCTGGCCAGATTCGGTGGTTCCTGCCTATAATCCCAGCGCTTTGGGAGGCCAAGGCAGCAGGGCTGAGACTGCTTGAGGCCAGGAGTTCCAGCCCAACTGAATAGGGTGCCCGGCTGTTCTCACCTTGTTTTACCATATTGAGCCAGTGGTTTTTCAAATTGGGACAATTTTGCTGCCCAGGGGACATCTGGCAACGTATACAGGCATTCTTTGGTTGCCACAACTGAGGGATGCTATTGGCATCTAACGGGCAAAGGCCAGGAATGCTGCTAAATGCGCGCCACCATACATAGGACAACCCCCACCACACAGAATGACCGGCATCAAATGCCAAGAGTGCTGCGATCGAGAAATCCTGATTTCAGTGGTCCCACTTCCTTTAGGAAGCCTCCTTTTTTTTTTTTTTTTTTTTTTTTTTTAGACAGGATCTTGCTCTGTCACCTAGGCTGGAGTGCAGTGGCACAATCATAGCTTACTATAGCCTCAACCTCATGGATTTAAGGAATCTTCCTATCTCAGACTCCCAAGTAGCTGGGACTACAGGTATGTGCCACCACTCAGCTAAGTTTTAAATTTTTTGTAGAGATGGAGTCTTGTTATGTTGCCCAGGCTGGTCTCGAATTCCCGGCCTCAAGTGATCATCCCACCTCAGTCACCCAAAGTACTGAGATTACAGGCATCAGCCACCACACCAGCCTGAGGTTGGGATTTTTTTGTTGTTGTTGTGATAGAGTCTCTCTCTCTCTTGCCCAGGCCGGAGTGCATTGGCATGATCTTGGTTCACTGCAGTCTCTGCCTCCCAGGTTCAAGTAATTCTCCTGTTTCAGCCTCCTGAGTAGCTGGGACTACAGGCACATGCCACCACACCCGGCTAATTTTTGTATTTTTAGTTAGAGATGGGATTTTACCATATTTAGTAGAGACCAGGCTAATCTCAAAATCCTGACCTCAGGTGATTTGCCTGCCTCGGCCTCCCAAAGTGCTGGGATTACACCCACTGTGTTGGGCTGGTGTTGGGATTTTATCCAGGCCTGGCAGCCCTCCCCTTCACCAGTATCTCCTAGAACCAGGGGCCCCTGGAGAGGAGGCCCCCCTACCTCCCTGGCCCTCCCTGGTCCTAGGCTCAGCCTCTCCCTCCGCTCACAGTGCCTCAACCTCGTGTTCCTGCTGGCGGACGTGTGGTTTGGCTTTCTGCCAAGCATGTACCTCGTCTTCCTGATCGTTCTGTATGAGGGGCTTCTGGGAGGCGCAGCCTACGTGAACACCTTCCACAACATCGCCCTGGAGGTCAGCACTGGCCAGGCAAGGGCTGTGGGTGGCCTGTCCAGGGACGTCCAGGGCAGGGATGTCTGGGACTGAAGCCTCACCCCTGCTCTCTGCCCTCCCAGACCAGTGATGAGCACCGGGAGTTTGCCATGGCAGCCACCTGCATCTCTGACACGCTGGGGATCTCCCTGTCAGGCCTCCTGGCTTTGCCTCTACACGACTTCCTGTGCCAGCTCTCCTGATACTCGGGCTCTTTGGGCTCCTCTGCCCATAGGGACCTCCCTCTGCCAGGTTAGACCACCCCAGAGCCCTTCCACGAACTGTGCTCCCAGCCTTCCCAGCAGGGCCGGGAGTAGGGAAGGGCTGAGCCTTGTTCCCCTGGCAGGGGGTTGGCCAGTCATGGTCTCCCACTTGGGGAGTTTCTTCCTGGTATTGTGCCCTTTGAATAAAAGCCGATTTTATCCGTGGACTTCTTGTGCTGTTTTTGTCTCTAAAAAGAAAATACTTTTATTATGAAAGTAAGACATACCCTCTTTCCTATATGTGGAAAGCATAGAAAAGGTGTGTCAGCAGATTTCTTTTTTTTTTTTTTTTTTTTTTTTGAGACGTAGTCTCCTCTCTCGGTCTCCCAGGCTGGAGTGCAGTGGCACCATCTCCGGTTCACTGCAACCCTTGGCCTCCTGACTCAGCCTCCTGAGTAGCTGGGATTACAAGCACAAACCACCACGCCCAGCTAATTTTTGTATTTTTAGTAGAGATGGGGTTTCGCCATATTGACCAGGCTGGTCTCAAACTCCTGACTCAGGTGATCCACCTGCCTTGGCCTCCCAAAGTGCTGGGATTATAGGTGTGAGCCACCCTGCCTGGCCTCTGCCATCTTTGAGGCCTCATGTATTCATTCATTCATGTACTCATTGTATGGGACGATCTGTAAATAATCATATTGGACATTCTAACATGAAAGTTTTTAAACAGAGAAGTGGAAAGAATTGTGCAGTGAGTTGTCCTGAGATGCAACCCTGGGTTCTATGTTCACATTTCGCTTTATTATGTAGCCCAGCCCCCATCAAATCTATCTACTCATCCTTACATCACACTCTACTGAGGCATTTTATTTTATTTATTTTTGAGACAGGGTTGCACTTTGTCACCCATGCTGAAGTGCAGTGGCACAGTCATGGCTCACTGTAGCCTTGACCTCCTAGGTTCCAACAGCCCTCAAACCTTGGCCTCTCAAGTACCTGGGACTACAGGTGCACGCTGCCAAGCCCAGCTTTTTTTTTTTTTTTTTTTTTTAAGACAGTCTTGCTCTGTCGCCAGGTGCCAGGCTGGATTGCAGTGGCACGATCTCAGTTCACTGCAACCTCCGCCTCCCAGGTTCAAGCAATTCGCCTGCCTCAGCCTCCCAAGTAGCTGGGCCTACAGGCGCATGCCACCATGCCCAGCTGATTTTTTTTTGTATTTTTAGTAGAGACGGGGGTTTTATGTTGGCTGGGATGGTCTCGATCTCTTGACCTCGTGATCGGCCTGCCTCAGCCTCCAAAATTGCTGGGTTTACAGGTGTGAGCCACTGCACCTGGCCTTTTTTTTCTTTTTTTTTAAGAGACAATCTCCTATGTTATCCAGGCTGGTCTTGAACTCCTGAGCTCAAACAGTCCTCCCTTGGCTTGTAGCCATGAACCATTGCTCTTGGCCTACAGTACTGTTATGAGGTGCAATTTATATACACAGTAAAATATACAAATTGTTACATATTTTTACAGCAAAGTAAGTCTGGGCCAGGTGCAGTGGCTCACGCATATAATCCCAGCACTTTAGGAGGCTGAGGTGGGTGGATCACCTGAGGTCAGGTGTTTAAGATCAGCCTGACCAACATGAAACCCCGTCTCTACTAAAAATACAAAATCAGCTGGGCCTGGTGGCATGCACCTGTAATCCCAGCTACACAGGAGGCTGGGGCAGGAGAATCGCTTGAACCTAGGAGGCAGAGGTTGCGGTGAGCCAAGATCGTGACATTGCATTCCAGACTGGGCAACAAGAGCAGAACTCTGTCTCAAAAAACATATAAAATTAGCCAGGTGCGGTGGCATGCACCTGTAGTCCCAGCTACTGGGGAGGCTGAGGCACAAGAATTGCTTGAGCCCAGGAGGCGGAGGTTGTGGTGAGCTGAAATTGAGCTACTACACTCCAGCCTTGGTGACACAGCAAGACAGAGTCTGGCTTGGTGTTTCTCATACATCATTGTTACCCTCTCTACCATATTTGCCGTATCTGAACCTAACAGCACTTTTATTTACTTAATATTTTTCATCAAAGCAACTAACCTTTATTATAAATTTAGTTGTTTTAAAGGGAACCATTATTATTAAAATCATGAATTTGAGGTGCTATGTATATATTTTCTACTATACATTAAATAGTTACGTAACTACTGGAATTTAAAATGAACATACATACAAGTTCCCCCTGAGACTACTCCATTATGACCAGTGATGTTTGTGGACCCAGATCTAGGAAATGCTGATGCACTGGTTAACAGCATGGGCTTTGCAGACAGAAGGGACTGACTTTCAGGTGCCAACCCTGCCATCCACTAGCTCATGACCTTGGGCAAGTCACTTCACCTCACTGCACCTCACTGCACCTCAGTTTCCCAATCTGTCCAATGGGATAATAATAGCACCACCAATTCACAAGGTGCTTTTGGAAATTACATGAGATCATGGGAAAGCCCAGTCAACACTCAGGAAATTTCAGCTCTGATCATGCTGTGATGACTCCGGTCTCTCACCTTTACATTGCATTGTACCAATGTTCCTCAAACCTCAGTGTGCACTGGAGGGCTTGTTTTCATTTTTGTTTTCTTGGAGACCAAGAGTCTTGCTCTGTCACCCAGGCTGGAGTACAGTGGCATGATCATAGCTCACTGCAACCTCAATCTCCTGGGCTCAAGGGATCCTCCTGCCTCAGCCTCCTGAGTATCTAAGACTGCAGGCACCACCATACCTGGCTAATTTTTTGTATTTTTGGTAGAGATGGGATTTCACCACATTGTCCAGGCTGGTCTTGTACTTCAGAGCGCAAGTGATTCACCCACCTTGGGCTCCCAAAGTGCCAGGATTGCAAGTGTGAGCCACTGTGCTCAGCGCTGCCTGGCTAATTTTTTAAAAATTTTGTGGAGATGAGGTCTTGCGACGTTGCTCAGGCTGGACTTGAATTCCTGGCCTCAAGCAATCACCTGCCTCAGCCTCCCGAAGGGCTGGGATCATTAGCTATGAGTCACCACACCAAGCCACAATATTTTCTTTCTCTCTCTCCTTCCTTCCTTCCTTCCTTCCTTCCTTCCTTCCTTCCTTCCTTCCTTCCTTCCTTCCTTCCTTCCTTCCTTCCCTCCTCCTTTCTTTCTTTTTCTTCTTTCTCTCTCTTTCTTTCTTTCTTTTCTTTCTTTTTGAGACGGAGTCTTGTTCTGTCTCCCAGGCTAGAGTGTAATGGCGTGATCTCAGCTCGCTGCAGCCTCTGCCTCCCAGGTTCAAGCAATTCTCCTGCCTCAGCCTCCCAAGTAGCTGGGATTACAGGTGCCTGCCACCGTGCCCAGCTAATTTTTATATTTTTAGTAGAGACAGGGTTTCACCATGCTGGCCAGTCTTGTCTCCAATTCCTGACCACGTGATCCACCCACCTTGTCCTCCCAAAGTTCTGGGATTACAGGTGTGAGCCACCACGCCCGGCCCACAATATTTTCTTCATCCATTTGTTAGTTGATGGATATTTGGGTTTCAATTTTGTGACTTACTATGAATCATGCTGCTATAAATGTTTGTGTAAAGTTTTTGTGTGGACATACGTTTTCCACTTCTCTTGGATAATATCAAGGATTGGAATTTCTGGGTCAGCGGTCATTTCATTTGATCCTTTGAGGAACTACCAGACTGTTTCCAAAGTGGCTACAATTTTACATTCCACTGCCAGCGTGTGAGGACTCTGATTTCTCCACATCCCCACCAATACTTGCTCTTTTCCATTCTTGTTCTTTGCTTTTTTGACACGGAGTTTCACTCTTGTTGCCCAGGCTGGAGTACAATGGCGCAATCTCTGCTTACGGCAACCTCCGCCTCCCAGGTTCAAGCGAATTCTCCTACCTCAGCCTCCCAAGTAGCTGGGATTATGAGCACCTGCTGCCACGTCTGGCTAACTTTTGTATTTTTTGTGGAGACGGGGCTTTGCCATGTTGGCCAGGCTGGTCTCTAACTCCTGATCTCAGATGATCCACCCACCTTGGCCTCCCAAAGTGCTGGGATTACAGGCATGAGCCACCGTGCCCAGCCTCTTTTCTGTTTTTTTCTTTATTTGGTTGACTGGTTTGGTTTTATGATAGCCTTTCTAGTGAGTGTGAAGTGACATCTCATTGTGGTTTTGATTTGCATGTCCCTGGTGACTAATGAGGTAGAGCATCTTTTCATGTCCTTATTGGCCGTACACATAGTTCTTTGAGGAATGTCTACTCAGATCCTTTGCCCATTTTTAAATGGTCTTATTTGTCTTTTTGGTTGATGAGCCAGAGATCTGAAGTCTTTTTGAGTTGTAAGATTTCTTGATATATTCTAGATAGAAGTCTCTTATAACATACATGATTTGCAAGTATTTTCTCCCACTCTGTGTTGTCATTTTACTTTTTTAATATCATCCTTTGGTACAGAAAGATGCTTATTTTGATGAAGTCCAATTTATCAATTTTTTGTTCGGTTGCTTGTGCTTCTGGCAAGATAGCAAAGTGGGAGCCAGGCGCAGTGGCTCATGCCTGTAATGCCAGCACTTGGGAGACCAAGGTGGGAGGTTTGCTTGGGACCAGGAGTTCAAGACCAGCATGGACAACATAGCGAGGTTCTATCTCTATAAAAAATTTAAATAATGATAAAATTAGGCCGGGTGTGGTGGCTCACACTTGTAATCCCAGCATTCTGGGAGGCAGGAGGACAATTTGGGCCAGGAGTTCAAGACCAGTCTGGGCAACATGGCAAAACCCATCTCTACCAAAAAAAAAAAAAAGAAAAAAGAAAAAAATGAAAGAAAACTAGCTGGGCAAGGTCCACCTGTAGTCCTAGCTACTCGGGAGGCTGAGGCAGAATTGCTTGAGCATGGAAGGTGGAGGTTGCATTGAGCTGAGATTGAACTGTTGCCTGGGCAATAGGAATGAAAGTCTCTCTCAAAACCAAAACAAAACACAACAAAATTAGCCAGGTGTATGCCTGCACTCCCAACTACTCAGGAGTGGGGAAGTGAGACGATCACTTGAGCCCAGGAATTTGAGGCTGCAGTAAGCTATGATCATACCTTTGCACCACAGTCTGGGCACAGAGCAAATAAACAAATCCCACATATATCTAAGAAACTATTGCCAAATCCAGCGTCATGAGGATTTACTCCTATATTTTCTGTTTTCTTCCTTCCTTTTTTTTTTTTTCTGAGTCT